GTGGCTTTAATGAAAGATTAGTCGCGTTTCCCATCTTCTGAATAATCACATGATAACCGAAATAATTGCATGCAGCGACTTACCATTTCTGTGCAGTGTTTTGCTTTCCCAAGATCGTGTGCTGTCTGCAGCGCACCGGCCAGGCCAAACGGCATGAAGGAAAGGGTTGCTTGCCCTCCTGTGAAGAACGTCCACAGGGACACCGGAAGTATCGACCCTGTTTTTCCTGGTCTGGGTCACTGATTACAAGCCGTCATCTGGTAGCTCATATTTGTCATCAGATGTAAGGTCACTTCACAAATTTCCCCTTCGGATGAGCTGATCTACCGGTAGCTTAAGTTCCTGTGGCGTATCGGCATACTCTTAAGGGCGCTCCTTCTTAGCGTTGGTACGCACTCAAAAGTGAATCCATCATTTCATGTTGTGCCTCAAGGCACATCTACGCATGTTTCTTTCACCTGCACAAGTGGGTATCTGTAAGTGCTTTTCTTCCGTGTTTTCTTCAACGACAGAAATACATCAGGTACTGTACACTTTGCATAGTTAAGCAGGGTAATTCGTCTTCCATCTACCGCACTTCCATGTTTGGTTCCGCTCCCCTATTGTCATTCTCTCTACTCACGCCTCCCTGGTCTAGAGTTTTTAGCAGAGCAACACAGCGTGGGTAGACATAGCTTAAAGTACATATCTTTAGTTTATATATATTCTAGGCTAAACATGTCTATCTGGGTTTGTCTCAAACAAGCTTCTTCGGGTTTTTCAGATCGCGCAGCTGCTGTTGCTTACCACACGGCCAGGAATTTTAGGGTTTATCCATTGTAAAGACATACCTTCTACCTTAGCAGACACTCCTCAGTAACATCAAAAGTGGTACGCTCTAATGAAGGAGCAGCAAAAAGTTAGAATACAGATGCCGGATGCGGCATCAATCAGAGGGCAAACAACACTGCTCAAACGCCTCAGTGCGAAGCTGATTGAAAATGATGATACTACATTCTGTTGTTTTGACAATGATGTGGACATTTTCGGTAATTCTGAGATTTTGTCCCACCACCACAGTTACTGTGTGCTGAGAAGCTTAGGAGCCACTCTACAGTTCTCTCATTCTTATTTGGAATAATTGGCAGTGCTCATCTCACGAGAATCGGCGAGTTTGAAGCCCAAGGCAGTCCGGGTAAGAGCAATCAAACTACATACCATTGTAAGTTACGGTTTTCTCTTCGCAACTTGGCAAGCAGCGATGCTAATGAAGTTGAAACATGAGGACATCTACGGCTACCTACAGAGGAGGTCAAAAGCCCACAAATAACGGACACACCTGCTTGTTTATAGGCTTGTACCCCGCAAACTCTTTCTGACCGCACTACCTGTCTTTGTGCTCTAGTAATAAGATGTCCTGGTGTATCTCCATGGTTTTTCGTCGCTGTACATCAAAGTACATTATCAACCGTTATATCCATCCGACGCATAGTAGTCTGCTTCTTGGCCTCACGTAACTGCTTTCCTGGAAACATATACGAAATAAGTCTGAACAGTTTTCCCAGTTTTGAGGAGGCAGCAAAGTAGACTTAACGCTGGTGTCTGGCTACTCTAAGAAGCTACCAGCCAGCTGCTGGAACAAACCCTTGGGATTGAAGGTACGAGGTGCAATTGATACTGACTTTAACCATAAACAGTTGACTCACTAGCAAACAGTATTTTCTAACGTGGTTTGGGAGAATGCATTTGACTTTTACACTCCAGGGATCTCTGCTCATTTGGGGCTCGATAGCTTTGCTCGGTGTCTTTTTTCTTCTAAATTATCAATAAAGTCATCGTCATTCCAAACCCATCCAGAAACCTGATATGATCGGAATGTCCTTCAATGCTGCATGAAAATTCCTGATGCCGTAACTAGTTGACAGCATGGTCAATAATACGAAAATTAATAACATTATCTCGACCGACCCGCTCATTTGCGAATCAATTTGTTTTGACTGGGGACTTTTCTGGAACCAAGCTTAATCTCTCGTTCACAAGTTACCTAAGCAATTGAGTGTGCCGAATCAGGCCGCCTCATGTTTCAGTTCTCACGATATTTGAGATAACGCAATACATTGTATAGATATAACACATTACCCATAAGGTTGCTGAAAACTCTTCGACAGCGCACGACCGGTTTCACCAGCTGCGTCCTAAGTGAGTCTCCCGTTAAAACTAAACTTATATGCAAGTAACTGTATTTGCTAAAATCTGTCCGATTTGGGTTCAAGTAGAAAATACGGTCGACGGAAACTCGGAGGCCGCGTCTAATTGATGAGCCTCAAGAAGGTGGAAACCGGTCGTGGGTTATCGAAGAGCTTTCAGAAACTTATGAGTAATATATTACGTCTTACCACCATATCTCTCTTGTAGATTCCAGTCTGTTTTGACAGATGACATTACGCTTGCCTCAGTCAACACACTTGTGTTGCCACACATTCCTTCAGTACTTAATGTTATTTGCCGGTTTAACATGCCAAATGATGCATACATGTGTGCGATTTCAATAGCAGCTCCTTGGGTTATAGCTTCACTATCCACCTAAAGATCAAAACGATCTTGATTAAACCCAGCTGATCTCTGAAGAAAGTAACAAGGATATAACGAACCACATTCATTTGGATACCAATTCGGTTTTGACTGGAGACTCACGGGGAACCTAGCTGAGTCTCTTATTTATGAGGTTTTCAAGCTGTCAGAGGTTTTCAGCAACCTTGTGAGCATCACATTACGCCTAACGGAGATGAGTTTTGCCTCCAATTCAACAATTATAAAAAACACAGAGGCGATGTGGGGGCAATAATTGCTGCATTTTGATGACTCCTCAAATTTATATAACTTGCATTTGTTTTGGGATGAAGAATAAACGAACTAGGCGCTCTGGTTACTGGTCGTTGGCTTGGGTTAGTGGTTGTGCCACAACCACTAACCCACCGCTACGCACAACTACGCACTGATGATGTCACCTCGATTGGTGATGAAACGTTTGCAACCAAATTGCCCAGCTCAGCGAACAAGCCAACGACCATCTACGCTACCTGAGCTACCGACATTCTGCTCTGGTTACTTTCACGGAAGTTTTATCCACCTATCCGCCATAGGTTTACATGGCCCCATGTATACAAAGGCCAGTCAACGGTCATAAATTTTTGCGTAAGCTGTAAAGAAGTTTGGTACGGTGAAAGCAAAGATTCGTAAATCGGATTTTCGCAAATCAATAATAAAATGTCCGTCCACAATTCCGTCACATAAGCTGTGTATAAGTGTCCAGTTGTTATTTTACGCTTCCGCAGCGACGCGTCCGTCTTGGCATATTTTAATATTGGGCTACTCAGTTAAATCATTGACAAGCGAACTTGTCCACTAACGGATAAAATAAATAACTATGATTTACTTGTTCAGAGGTAACAGTAAGTAACAGTACCCTCTGTGTTGTATGGGTCTGACGAGACACGACTTTGTAGGATTACAACCATTGCAAGCCTAATTTCACAATGCAATAAGCTGCATAGAGTCACGAATTCATGCATCCTTTTTTCATTAGAGGTACCTGATTGGCTGACAGTTTGGGGCAGCGGCAACGACAGTCTGTCCTCAAAAATCTGCCGGACAGTACAACAATGCAAGTGCACCGTGTGCAACACATTGGCCGTTGTATAAACGCATTGTGTCGTGGTGCACCAAATACCTTGGAATAAGACTCAAACCAAAAGTGAGAATTGGTAAAACTGGAGTGCAGTAAAAGAAGTTAGAGTTAATTTTGAGCCATATTTGACGTCAAGATAGGCTTGGAAAGCATCCAGCTGATAAGCCAAAAGATGCTCATCCCGGGAGTGACGCAGGTAGTAAAGACCTTGGCTGAAGATAGTGATGGCAAAAAACATTGTTTTAGAAAACAATAACAAACGGCGATGTTTGCTTTCCTGTATACAAGAGAGAGTGGAACAAAGAGATAGCGTCATCATGTTGACAGGAGCCACAAAATTTTTGATATGGCGATAGAGGGTTATCAACCATCCACATTGACGACGAACTTAGACGTAAGACATCCGTTTAGATATGAGATCAACCCGATGTGGCCGATCTACATACTTCTGTAGTTTAGACAAATATACTTGAAGACATCAGGTCTTGTTCTTGTCACCAGTATGACAAGTAACTTAAGAACAGACTGAAACTGTTGTGACCATAATAAGTAATAGGGGTTGTTTTACTAAGCATCTCAGAGTTACCCGTTCCGTCTTCGTAGGCAGGATGAGTTCCTGTCGGATTTTGTTGAGAGAGGGTCATATCTCCATAATACATGCTGTGGGAACTAAAGTGAAATTTCATTCACAATGATGTTTTGGAAGAGTGGACCACAAAGGCACTGAAAAAGATCAAATATGGTATGCGCTCATTCTATGGGAATGTCCGAGTTTCCCGGTGAAGAAGGATCACTCCCAGACGAGGACTACATTTTCCATTCCGAAGGAATGGGCCTTTTTGCTTTCTTATTTACACTCACTGTGCGTACGGTCGACTTCAGTTGTGTTCTGAAAAACGTTTGACTTGGATTCATTCTGATCCCAAAATGAGCACTATTCAGACATATGAGGACACACATATGGGCAGATTCCTCGCAGTTAATCCTTTTTAAATGCAGGCTAGGAGGATTTTTGAGGAATATTCTGGAACATCGATTGTAGGCAGGTGGTGTTCGTAACTGCCAGTTGTTTGCAATCCTCAGCAATGTGATAATTCGGTCATTATGAACGGACAAATTTCTCTATAATTATATGTTGCATCTCAACTTCTCAAGCTGATTCTCATTAACAGGAAGGGTATTCTTGACTATGTTACGGGTACAGTTGCATACTTCACGATTTTTGTACTACGCCCTCTCGGTTGAGTGAACTCGTAGTTAATAAACGTAAATGGTAAGCATGATTTCAAAGGTGTATCTATGCTAAATCACAGATAATTTTGGGCGCAATAAATCACGTGTGTGAGGTCATATGACGAGTCAAATGATGTCTCTCGCGGAATGTTTCACCACATAGGTGACACACAAGGCTGGTTCGGGTGAGATCAGCGACTTCCAACCTTGACCGTGCTTCGGGAGGTTGTTCTTGTTGGGTGGCTTTTGAGTTGTATGTGTCTACTGTGGACATGGATTCTCTTCTATTTTCTTCTGCAACCGGCTGACCAGATGCACAGCGTTCCGGCGGCGGAGCTCTGATCCGCATTCCTGTTTGTTCCTTATTGTGACAAGTGCGCATGTGCTGAACCAAGTCGCTTGTTAATCGAAATGTTGTAAAGCACCGCGCACACCAATTCTGTGCCAGCCTAAGTGAAGTGGAGGGTAATGGCAGTGCAGTTTTACCCGCGGCTGGTTGGTTCAACCGATGGATGATCGTCTGAAGCAGCTGCTCTACCAGAGGGTTCCGAGTTCTTGAAGCGAACGGGCTATCCTTATGTGGATAGGATGATGCTGGGTAGCAGCTCGCTTTTCGGTTTCTCTGTGAATTCTGATACTGACCACACAATTGTTTTTGCAATTTGTTGGCTTCCAATCTTCTTTGGGTTTTCTGCTCTCCAAAACAACGTACACTGTTAGGTTTGGGTATGGGACGCGGAGGTTTTTCGTAAGCTTTATTTTTCATCCGACTGTTTGTTGCTGACACTGATTCTCCATCGACGGGGCCCGCTTGGTGTTCTGGAGGCAGGTTTGGCTGTGGGTACCAAGATGATGATGAATTCTGAATCAAACTAAGCCCCGGAACGTCGACGGGCGGAACCCGTACGACATCTTTAATGGTTTCTGGAAGTCGCAAGTGGGTTTTCAGTTTCCATGACAAAGAGGGTGAATTTCCATCGCTTGGTTTAATGACAGGCTGGTGGCCGCAGACAGTATCACGTGGTAGCAGGTTAGGATGGCTGGAAGTTTGACCATCTAAATGTACTTGAATTTCGCGAATAAGCTTGTGACCCCCGCATTTGAACAAAAAATGGGCAATGTATGGATATATGAACCGGAACTCCGCGTTGCATAGTTCACACTGCATGGAGGCTAAAAAAGAACGAAAGAATTTAGTTGAGTCACACTTGCGAATACAGAAGGTAATTACTACGGAGACAGTGCTTATTTGTCGCTTCAAATGCCACGATTGATGGAACTTTATTAAGTTGTGGGACCGGACCCGCGGTCATGCCTGTTAGCTGTTGCGCAGTCACCTAGCCTGCTCTTAATGATATTGTGGATTTATGAAGGACTGGTTACCTAACCCGAGCAATACGATGGATTACGGTTTCTCAATACTTCGTTTTTTTTTATTCCTAAAATCCCCAACACGAAGCGGTTACCTGGTAGAAACTTTCCAAGAATCAAGTAGGAATCCCAAGCCCGGTCCGGAGGATTTCTAATGCCGGTTCAAATCAAAGCCGGTTAACTTCGGTTTACTACTCCGTCGGAAATGAATACTGATCAGAGCACACATATTGAGTTCGTACAATCTTTGCTAAAATAATACTAGTGCTAATGGGCCTCGACAAAAGGTTGCACAGAAAGAACCATTGATACAGGAAAAAAAGTTTAAACAGGATGGCAAAAGATACGGTACTAAGATGTCTGAAGAAGACATTTGAAGGTTCCGGAAGCAAAAACGTTTTGAACGAAGTCACACTTGATTCAACAGAGCCAAGGTGATTATGCTACGCAGGACCGTATGGACTTTGCAGATAGCATAATCCCCTTGTGGCTATTGCCTTACATGACAAACAATCCACTATAGTACGGAGAAATGGTTCACTAAAGTGGCGTCCATCAGACATCATTTATGTCATCACAGCATGATTCATGACTTGCACTTCGTTGAGCGGATAAAAGACAGAAGGTCTGTGGATAAGCACCTGACTATTCACCTTTACCGTTGAACGAAGCTGTTGAAGTAAACAAGACTACTCGTACATCCCAAGAATTCTAAAGATGACTTGTAGGGCCTAAGAACATTTCTCACCAAAATTCAATGACAAACTATAAAAATAAATAAAAGCAGTGGCCTTGTCCATTCGCTTAGGCCAAATTTTGCACACATTTACGCCTAGTGTAGAAGAAAAGGCCAAGAAAACGTCTGTTGCTGTGTAGTGTTATATATGGGGTGCTTTTCATACGGAGAAAACATACCAACGAAGGGAAATGATGCATGTTTTTAGTGATGATACGAATCCAACCCTAAGGAGACTGCGGTTAAACAATTTTCATGAGGGCACTAGTGAACCTCTTTCGTTTCAGATGCATGCACATGCATTCGGTCTCAGTTACCACAGTGGAAGTGAGCAACTCCATTATCAGCAGCCTCATCTTATAAACCACCAACTCAGAAGTGAAATCGCGTTATCTTACGATTCAGAGAAGCTCTGGTGCAAACACGACAGGGGTTCGTTACGTACTTCGGTAACTGAGACCGAACGCATAGGCAACAGTCTGAAACGAAAGAAGTTCACTTGGGCTCTTACGGAAAATGTTGAACCGCAGTCTCTCCAGAGTTGGATTCGTATCACCTCTAAAAATATGTCATTTCCCTTCTGAAATTTGGTAGAGATTGAGTACACAACCGTATCAGTCGTGGAACACGAGTTACGGTGTAGCGCACTTTCTAATAACCTAACTGCTCAGACCACCTCGAAATTTCTTCACCACTACCAGTGTGGGTGGAGGAAACCTCGGTTGACAGTTCTGAGTATGATTTTGAAAGTCTAAGTCTGTGGCCCATGCTCCTGAAACCCGCGCTGGGTTGATATGTAGGCGATCCTTTCCCCTGGCCGCCGGGCTTGAGCAGCTGAGACTCGGGTCATCCAAGTGATCTGATCGTCTTTCGGCAACAGGGTGTAACGAAAAAGTGTAGATAGAACGTACTGTAGATCATTTGCTCAGTTTAGCGTTCCGTCCGGTACTAATGTGCCAGGGATCTCCAATACAAAGGATGTTATGACAGCAACAAGTTTCGCTTTCACCAAGGACAGTGAGTCGTTGGAACAAAGCGAACTTTTTGCGCGAAACCTCACTAAGTTCCCACCCATGGTACTAACATCTCTAATGCAACCTTTTCATACGCTCCCCTATAAACGGCTTCATGAGTATTGGCCACTTTCGCTACATCGGTTCCGTATTATGTGCTAAGGGTGATTTGTAATTTGACAAAATTACACACTTTTGGAGAAACCCGCCAAGGAGTCATTCTTGATACTTCGTAGAATTTTGTGGGTCAAGTATTCGCGGGTGAAATTTTGTGTGGTGAACAAATGATGTACAACAAGGCAAAATCATGACAATAAAGCTTGGGTGTAGTACCAACAGTTGTTACCGAGTGAGACCTTAATCCAAGAATCATCTTTCCTGTTGTGCATTGGGTGTGAATAGGAATACTGCCATGTCCAATAGAAACCTTATCACACAATGTAGACGAAAGAATGAGTGCACTTGCACGGGACCAGAATCTACGAACTCTCGGTTGCTGTACTAATAGCCAAACTAAACGCGGATGCCATCTTTACTGCTTTTCCATACAGACTAATAAATCCTCTGACCAAAAGATTTAGTGATTGACGTTTCTAAGCTCCATTGGTGATAGCCTGGCGTGATCTCGCAGTAGGCAAGAAGCTGATACCGTCCAGGTACACAGAGGTTTGGAGTGACTTAGAAAAGATAGGATTTGTGTATCTTTCCTCAGAAACCCAATCACTACGAGACAAAGCTGTTGGTTGAGACACGAACCGTTGCTGTTGAACCGGAAGTCCATGCTGTAGTGTTGGAAACCTTGAACCAACTACCCGTGACTTTTGACGCGGTCCGACATGCCACAAAAATGACAGCATACTACGAAAGGTAGTGGAGTACCACCAATCCGGCTGGCCAACAACTCGTCCATCTGAGGAACACCGGAAAATAAACCTTAAACAACTACCCGTGACTTTTGACGCGGCCCGACATGCCACAAAAATGACAGCATACTACGAAAGGTAGTGGAGTACCACCAATCCGGCTGGCCAACAACTCGTCCATCTGAGGAACACCGGAAAATTTTTCAACGACGGAATTCATTGTCTGTTGTCAGTGGCTGTCTTCTTTGTCTTTGGCCGAATTGCCATTCCCACCGAACTTCACCAGCGGAGGCTAGCACAGTTTCACAGTGGAAATTCAGGGATAAGCTGCATTAAGTCCTTGCTCGCAGCTATGTTTACTGGCCCGGTATGAATGATGACATAGAGCAGGTATGTCTGAGTTTCTTCCGTTGCCCAGCTGCCCAGAGGTTAGCCAACCGGCAGTCGCCTGTCTGGGACAACAATGATGACAATCACCACTAAACTGTGGCATTCGTTTTCAGCACTGGGCATTCCGGAAACCATTGTGTCCGACAATTGTACTCAGTTCATATACCACCAGTTTGTGGAATTCGTTCGAAGACATGGCATCACACATGTGACTTCCCCACCATTCCATCCCCAACCCAACGGTTAAGATGAACGGTTCGTAGACACCTTTGAACGCGCGTTGACAAAATCAGCAGGATAGGGGGCCATGGCAGAAGTCATGGATACTTGCCTGCTGAATTATAGAGCAACTCGTAAGCCACAGTCCCCAGACGGCCGCTCTCCAGCATAGGTTACGATGAACAGACGGTTGAGACTTACCCATGACGCTATCCTGCCAACACTTACATGTTTTCAATACAGAAAGGGGAAATCTGACGTTCAGGCCTGGAAACCGCCTGCTTATCATCGCCTCGATCACCACAGATAGACTGTTGAAGTCGTCCTCAAAAGAACCGGTTAAGTAATTTACAGCGCCCAGGTGGGGTCATTAATATGGAAACGATGTGTCAATCAGTTACGCCCGACTGAGTGCCCGATCCCAAAAGCGGAAGAACAGTTACTGGATCTCAGCCTGCTGCTTGAAGCCTTTGACCTCCCAAGATCAGCCCCAATAACCACCGCTTCACATGAACCGTCCAAGACAGATCCATACCTGTAACCAAGACGCCGTTCCGGTGGCGCCAGAAGACTGGCGGAGCATTTTCAACTTGACCAGAGCCGAAAATCTCACGTCGAACGGCCACAATGGGGAGGTATCAGGAAGGTCAGATTTCTGAAAGCAACCCAGAAAGCTGGAAACCTACTGAGACCCTACAACTTCACCAAAATCTCAATAGGAAAGCCGGCAAGCATCCTGGCCAATCAAACATTCAATCACCTCAGCAACAGCCTGGATTGATGAAAGTAAAAGCTAAAATGGCCTGAGGTCCATTGTAAGTGTGACACTCGCGTGCACTCGCTCATTCGCGCTAAACCTGTTGTGTTCCTATTCGGTGAGTTTTTCCACTACTAGGAAGTGGAGCGAGAACAGCAGTCAGATATAACATTTTTACTTCGCAAGACTTCCTTTTTCTAGCCCTCGTGTTTCACCTTCAATTTTGGTTCAGTAAGCCTCCACAAGCGCAATTCATTCATTTGGTTCTTACAATTGCTTAACATTTGGAAAATTAATTTTATATCGACTTGAAGACCCACTAAAAGACAACTAGAATGCCCAACGGACGTGACCTCTTAGTCCATGGTAACTTACCTGAAACTCTACCCGGCGTCTGGTCACATGCTGCTTGGGTCATATCACTGGCCTCGTCCAATCCCAACCAGGCATCCACTGCTAACCGTTGTTTCAACACCCTCTCAGCCAGTGGGTTTATATCCGCTCGGCGGAACCAGACAAACATTTCCTGACCGGCATCAATAGGTCGTATAATGTAGTAGAACGAATGTCCTGTAGTTGGATCCCGTATCAGTTCCACATTTTGCTCCCCAGGATATCGGGCACTGCGTAGATTGCAGACCCATTCAATGAGTCGATGAGGGTCCGAAAGTTGCAATGGATTGACCTATTTGATAAAAATGTAGGGAATAAATCTGACTGTGCACGTTTACGTCAAATATCAGGATGGACAACTAAGGTCAATTGAGAGCACATTCTGATTGCAGGAACCCCAGTCCCTCGTGACATCGAAAGAAGTTGACATTCATGGGTAATTTGAGTCTGTTTACTGGTTCTTCAAATTCAAAGCGAATACACCCGTGTGGTCACTGAATCTTCCCGAGATGGAATCGAAACCAGTGTGACTACTCAATTATAGCTACGATAAGGAAGGACGCTTGGATGTTGAAGCATATGGGCTGTGTCAGAAAACCAAGCAACCTGTAGCACAGCAGTAACCCACCTCACAGTGGCCCATTCAACTAAAATAATTAATTACCGTTTTAGCCTTCAATTGTACTCATCCGCACTATTTTATGATGTAAAGTTCTGTCAGGAAGCACCTATTCCTGAAAATAATCCCAGAATGCCCGAAACCCCCTGAGACTCTCAAACCCCACCAAAATCGCTACAGGAAAGACGCCAAGCATCCGGGCCAGAAAAGCAAACAGTAGATTGAACGGTGAAAGCAGTCAACCGATTCAACAATGGCCGACGATGTCACGACGTTCAGACAGTCTGGATCAAGGTCAAAACTGTGCTCTAAATACCGCAAGACCCTTGTCATTGCACTCGCTTGTTCGCAATAAAGCTGTTGTGTTTCCTGTGAACGGCTCCTTTTCCAAAACTACGGCACCAAGTGGAAACAGCAGTTAGTTACAACAGGTTCAGACAGAAATTTTATATAAGTGCGATTTAAATTCCAACTTTTTCCAATAACGAAATACAGTGTCTTACAAAGCACAATTGTTTTGTAAAACTAACCACTTCAACTTTGGACCGTTCAGTGGAAATCTCTTGGATTCATTCAGAATATGGTGGCTGTTTGAAGTTCTCTTTTAGAGAGGAACCAAGCACAACCGCTGTCAGGAAAGGGGGTGTCTCGTGGAGTGTAAAATTTCATAGAAGAGTACGCCGGCGATGGTACTTTTCCGAATGATCTCTCAGGTGAGACCACACCACCTTGTGGAGTGGTGCATCAAACCGACGTTCTCAGCAGCGGATGATACCATTTCAGATTTTATTCTACGCATATAAAATTTCACATAAAAATGCAACAAACTGCAAAATTTTTTTGGATAACTCACATGTCCATTCGTGGCCTCCAATCTTCACTGGCTGTTCGGCAAGTGCGCTTAACAATATGGCACTTTTTACGGTCGAAAGCCTATTCAGAATGGTTTTGTTCCGTACCTATGCTCTGATTCCTTCATTCAGATTTATGAGAAGAGCTAAGTAGTTTACATGTGAATCAACTAAGCAATTCAAGTGTAACAGACTAACGTTCTATGACAAGGTGTCCACTGACTGCAAACTACACTACATACCTGGCCGAAATTTGGATAATCGGATCTATATTTTTCTCCGACCTGAAGCCATAAACGGATGTTTCCAGTGGAGTTAGCTTAGAAATCGTGTTGACCTAATGATAGTGAATTTCCCATCTTCAAATATCTAAAGACCGATCGGTCAGATTTGTTTGCGATTAAATAGACATGGTTTCTGCATAGAAAAGCTCGCTTATCAATACAGGCCATTCATAATTACCATTCACAATTACTCACTATAACTGTGGGAAGTTCAGGGAGTTGGTCGGTTGTAGTTTGAGCAATCAGGTATGCCGGATCAGCTATCATCCAGTCAGTGGGCAGCGGGCCGAAACATAATCCAGGCTCCAAATTGACCGTGGTTATCATGCCCATGTTTATGGCAAACCAGATTGATCGAGTGATTGATTTTTTACTAGTTATGAACTGAAGAGAGAAAGAATCACGATGATCTATAGGAAATGACATCATGACAACGGGTATTCTGTTATCAAAATAAATAAAAGATAGAGCCCAGGAGATTACCGAATTCGGTATCGCATTAGACTTTGCTGACCACGAATCACTGTAGACTTGGGACTGCTGATTTGGATATTGTGTTTGATATGTAACAAGTCTATTCATAGTCACCAGTATCCTTAAAATTCACAGCAGAATTGTCACCTGGACGGTCTTTAGAGGGATACTCCGTTGGAGGGATGCCCAAACCTGGATAGCTGACTCAGGAAACCAATGCAATGAAGACCAAGTTTCTCTTTTTCATATAGACGTGTTTTTTCGAACAAATTACCGTGTACTAGCACCCGGGATCAACAAGCGTACTCAACTATCAAGTGAAAGAATTTCAACAGCGGAACTTGCTTTCATGTGGGCGAACAACACGTTTAGAAAAACAACTCATGTTGGTCTGCGCGTAAATTTTCGGTCTTCAACAAGGTGGTCAGCTGGCTTCTACTTTGAGCCTTCAACTCTCTGTGAGAAAACACCAAAAGCTTGCTAGGTTGACAAAAGGTTGAACAAAAATATTCTGAAGTTTTGTCATGACCTACTACACCTACTTGAGGTCCTTCAAGCACGATGCCTACGATAACTTGGGCACTGAAAACGCAATAACAATGCCATAATTCCCGAACGGACCTTGGCTGCTTGATCACGTCAGAGGTGGTCTTTTCGCTTTTGAGGACTGTTGAAGACGTGGGTCGGCACGGTCAAAACTGACATGGAACAACTTGATTCTCATTCGATCCATGGTCTCCGTCAGTGGTGTGGGATTTATGCGTATGACAGCTGCTCTCCGCTCGTGAGCAGCCACTGTCAGAGGCATTTCTTAAAGTCACTCATTCAGACCCAAGAGATGATCGCTCAAATGCTAACTACCATTAGAGATAAAACTGCCAACTACATGGCCACGTGTGGCACAAAAGCATAACTCGTTGCCAAGTAGTATATTCGCCGCAGAGCCATCCACACTTGGAACATGGAACGTTTTTATACTCATGCTAACTTATAGTGACATTATAAAGAACAGTGCATCTCGCACAGCTTAGACTATCTTGAATTTCCCCTCAGATGTCCTGATAGTTGACGCTCATGAGTTCCCCTAGAGGCGATGACTGGTTTCAGAATAATCCTTGGATGCGTAGTCCAGTGTTTGAAGCTTGAAACTCTACAAGAATAAGGCTTCAAGTAGAAGAACGCACATTTAGCCGTGCCCACTTAACTAGGAGGCTTAGAATAAACCCATTGTTCTATGCGAATCTGATCGCATTACACTTGCCTCTTGATTGTTTCACCCTACGTGTTGGAAGCTGATAATTCTGTGATTGTGTCTTTCTCTGTTAGTTCATGCATTGGAATAGTCTTTACCTTGTTGTTGACCTGCAAAATTTTCCACCGTCTCCTACGAGAGTCTGGCAAAGAACAATTTACTTCCCCCGCCGTCCTAGGTTAGATGAAGTATCCATCAATCTACTGCATAAAGTCTGCGAGAAACGAGGAACGTTTGAGTATATGGAGCTGTACACTTGAAGATGTGAGTGGCTATTTAAGACCTAGTGCTGAACATAAAAAACGAGAAATATGCTTGATACACTCAACGGAGATGGTCCTACCCTTCCCGAGGATCCACTAAACATCTGTTTCTTTATTTCAGCAAAGACCAACTTGTGAAAAAGCCATTTGAGACAGCACAACAGTCTCATTATCTCTCATCACTTCCTTCCGGTTGACTGGGTTAGGAAAAGCTTTAGTCAACCGAAACCCGAGAAATGAACTCCCCCAACACGAACATCCTAATCAAATTAACCCCATGGGCGATCCGAACCAAATGTTCCATTCAACATGTTTCCAGTTCGTCGTTAATTTTTGACAGGGTTTATGAGTAATGCCAGTTTGGAGTTTTAACGTCACCGTAAGAGCTAACTGAAGTGATTTCTATGCGTTATCCCAACCTTTCAACAGTCGCTGAAATTGGACTGAACAGCTTGTTCTCTTCCTAGGTAAACCATATGTCGAACACTGATTCCTTTAGCCATTGGGTTGTTTACCTCGCAATCACAAAAGTGTCGGACTCAGATGTACCTTTAATTAGAGCTGGTTATTTTCAACAACAGCATTTGGGTAGCAAAAATTCTGTTATTGTGTGCGACATTTACTGTGACACATTTATTCTGAAAGTAACAATCTTTTTTTCCGTTTGGAAAAACGACACTGAAGCTCTTCGAGTCAGTGACAGGTTTTGGACAAAATTGCCGATCACTGCTAAAGTCGACATCAGTCCTGTCGGACGCAGTTTCTGGGCTCTGAAATGACGGTTTGTTTAGCAGATTTTACCTCAGGAAAACGAGTGCTGCTTTTACACGGCAAGCAAGTCACAACCTTATGTACGTGGTTAGAAGACAGGATATTAATGCAGGCTTACAAAGCAAAAATGCTTTTGGACCAACCATGGTGGGAAAATTGTCTGGTTCCAACTCACATGAGGTTCTATCAGAAACACAGACACCAGGCACAATGCCGTCAGTAAATTTTTATCTATGGATCAACAAGAATCATAACTTACTCCTTGCAGACCAACTTGTGAACATGTAGAGTTATACTGGTTCTCGAAAGAATTCCGTCCTCAAGTACCTGTCACTGGTCCTCTTATCATTGCTGTATGGCTTGCGAAATGTGGGTCTGTGACAGACAACTTCCGTCGAAGAGAGAGAAGGTAGGTGAATCAATGTTGAAAAAATATTTGCTTTTAGTCATCCACAACAACAAATGATGTTAAAAATCAATTAGACGGATTTGGAGAGCTCGGAAAATATGGCTATTCTGTAAATGCGTGTCCGCTAGGAGCCATTAATACCTGAAGAAAAGCTGTTTTTTGTCACACAAGTCTGATTTAACGAATGACGGGGGACACGTGACCACAAATCTCCTTTGAACGATGGGAACAACAAAAGGTCACGCGGGAAATAGAACCAATCCTGTTTCGGAATGAGACAAATGCCAACTCTGCTTTCAGCTCACTGAATTCCAAGCGAATTTGGAAATGGTATACGTCACTGTTTTAACCATGTCAGGCTTGGGACTCCCCTACAGTGGGTAATGTGCTCAGCCATCTTCGCCAACAATGTGATACCTCATTCCTAGCTGACTGTGCTGAGCTGAATGACTGCCTCGCCACAGCTGACCATATACCCACAACTAAAGTCTATGCTGTGACACATGCAGATCACAATGTCATTAATAATACGCTCTCGCCAACGAGTCAGGTAACATCGCCTATAACAATGATGATGTTTTAGCTTGACTGTCTTTCTGGAGAAGTGAGCTTATAGTAATTATGCAATACAGAGTATGGTCTAATATATGCGTCCTTCTAGAGAGCGTGACACTGATTTGATTGTTGATTTATTGTAGAATAACCGACGAAACGGTGGTTTTCTCTAAACAAGGAGAGTGATGTCAGTATATTATGCTGGAGTCGGTAAAATACCAATAGGTTAGTCCTACTGTACCCTAAATTCCGGCAAACAAATGTGTTACAAACTGCCTGTGTTGCCTAGGCCCCAACTCCCACAGAAAATAAAAGTCCTAACTGCATGCGAATGGTGAACAATCACGCACTTTTTTAAATAAACCTGAAACCGAAAAGCATATCAGGTAAGTCCGGTGGTTAAAAGTGAATGATAAATGGTCGACGGATGTAGTGAAGTTGTCACCAGACTTTGTCCTCGTATTCAGTCAAGTCTCTACGAAGGGCTAACCTGATTGAGTAGCCAATGGTTTGCCAAGATGGACAGGAATAGCCAACCAACTACCACCAGATTTGCGTGATTAAAAATCACCAACCATGTGTTGCTTCTAATCTTTGAACAATATTCATCTTATTTGCTCATTATCGTTCGCAGCTTTGTATGAATAAGGCATCTCCAGGTTGAACTACTCTAAGGTAAGTCAGTTTTGGTATTCTTCTACTAAACTTACAGCGCGAAATTCAGTTGCGCAGGCTGTTATTGAGTTTCACAAGCGAGTACTGAACGCATACCTTAAAAACTTTGATAAATTCAAAATGCTGCTTGAATGATTCCTAATGACATGTCAGTTACCCGCCCAAGTGATAGCGGAGACACCAGCAATAAAAAGTTCTGATGACGATTAAGATCATTGGGTTGGAGGAGGACAAGTTTTGCAATCAAAATTAGGACCACTACAACAGTTGCCTTGTATATACGATCTTTTATCTTCAGTTTACTTTGTTTCTGACGCCACACACGACGCAAGTTGGTTAAAGCTGCTCGTATCTTGACTGCAGGCGCATTGACTTTATTTGCTGTATTAGAATTAAGGGAGGAAGGAGTTTATTTGGTGGTCAGGATATTCGCGCCTTCCCGATTAGAATTCCGGACGGTTAATCTGCGTTCACCAAACAACATTCAGACATTTTTCACAAAGGAAACTACTCACAAGGTTGATGAAAACTCTTGGACAGCCCACGACCGGTTTCGCCCTTCTTGGGGCTCATCAGGTAGGCGCAGTCCCCGAGTTTCCGTCAACCGTATGATCTACTTAAACCCAAATTGCACTTTTTTCGAGAAATACACTCATCTGCAAATCAATTTGGTTTTCATGGGAGACTCAATTGAATCTCTCGTTTATGATGTCCTCCAGCTGAATGTGCTGCACACAAGCCGCCTCATGATTCAGTTGGCACGATATTCGAGATATCGCAGTATATTTTCATAAAGGAAACTACTCACAAGGTTGCTGACTTCCGTTCTCAACATTCCTCGACTGTGATCTACGAGTACCTCAAGTTTTATTACATTACTTTATGAAAAGGGAAAGCATGGGAATACTCTTGCAATGCGAGCCACCAGACGTAA